ACCCGCACGCGCATGCATTCACGCATGGAGTACAATGAAGCCTCTCAAAAATGAACACTGGGCACGGAAGAAATCTACCATGGCAACCAAAACAAAGGGTGAACACCCTGTTGGTCGCCATTCATGTCTGTGAGCAGATCACAAAACCGCAAGCTTCAAGATCTGGCTGGAAGTCCAAACCTTCGAGAAATCCGTATGCGTATAGTTGTATATACATACACTTGTGTACACATGTGTATATATATATATAACGTAATTGTAGAAGCACGAACGAGCCATGGGACTGAGTAGCTTCCGCCTATTTCCATGACTTGCCCACTTGCGAGGGAGAGCTTCTAGCATAACAGCTGAAGATTCAACCACCTGCTCGTAACTACATACGAGTGCGTCGTTGTGCCAAACAGAGTGGTTTTCAAAAAAGGAAGACCTACCTTCGTTTTCTAGGAAGGGTCCCCTAGAAGAAGCCACTTCTTCTTCTTCTTCTTCTTCTTCTTCTTCTTCTTCTTCTTCTTCGTCTTCTTCCTCTTCCTCTTCTCCTGCTTCTTCTTCTGCTTCTTGTCTTATTTTATTTACTTCTTTTTGTGGGGGGGGGCCCCCCGGGTCCCTAGAAACAGACCGACCTTCCCTTTCCCGCAGGCCCCGTCCCGCTTGCCGGCAGGTCGCAGAGCAGGAAGGGCGGCACCGCTGCCTCGAAGAAGCCCTCGCAGAACCAGATGCAGATCCTGGCGAGCCCGCGACGCAAGCCGACAGTCGGCGGCGCGGGCCTCGTTCTTTGGCGGGGTCGGAAATATGTACCCAAAATGGAACCCAAACGGAAGTGGAAAAATATGGACCCAAACCTGCAATCCCCTGGTGAAATTTTCACCCATACCCATTTTACCGTGATCAAAGTCACCCCCGTTTAGTGGTGGGTTAAAGGGAAACAACCGCATTTTCTGACTTTGATCACCCCCAGAAACCGTCAAAATAATGACCCCAGCGAGAGCCAATGGAGAGCATCTGGAAGCAGCAGCAAAAGGGGTGACTCTCAACAAGCAGAGGTTCAAATCCCCCAATCCGGGCTCCAAACCGCCATTTCGGGGGAAGCTGAACATGGGGGTTGATCAATATTCCATTTAGGGCCCCAAGATGACCATGGCACAAACTTGTCGCATGTGGTGCTGTGGTCAAATCTTTTTTGGTGGCTTGCCTAATGGCCACCCCAAAAGACCTTTTGATCAACCCTTAACTGGGAAGCAGCTGGCCAAACAAATCCTCTGGAGACAGGCACGCTGGGCGCTGCGAGGCCGAGCGGGTCCAAAGGTCGTCGGTCAAGGGAGATCAATCTAGAATGAGACACACCTTGTTTCGAAGATCTTGCCTCACCTTTCTCATATCCATACACACGGAGGAGAATCTGAACCTGAAGCCAATGTGTGGGAGCTCGCCCTTCGCACATGGAAAACTCAGGTCTTAGTCTCCGTGCAGGTCTCGCAAGGCCAAATGGCGGTGTCAAAAACAGGGTAACCCCAAAATGGCACCCTGGCAAGTGGCAACATGGACCAAAACCTGCGGTCCGGTGACGGTGGTTTAATTTTGACCCACACCCAAATGCCGACCGAGGCGCATCTTGATGAACAGGGCGCCCACCAGATGATACAGATTCATCTTGCTGGTGGTCAGCTCCACCTGGGCAAATCTCCAGCGACGAAAACCAACTCGAATGATCAAGCTTGGTGCCATGGGTGGCCTTTTGGAAAAATAGATGGGTGTCCCTGGTAAATGGAAGAAACTCCACCTGAACCAGTTGAACGCATCTATTTTTAATCAAACTGCATTTTGGACAGGCAGCACCAATCAAAAGACATCTGCTCGTGTCTTAAGCGTCAGCTATCTTCATCAAAAGTACTAGCCATGTGCATTATTCCCAGTGGTGGTCCAGGAAGTGCCATCGCGCCGTTGTATTTTGGCAGAAGCAAGCAAAAAAAAAAACTACGTCACAACCTCTTGCCCCAGAGGCCACGTTCATGGCCAGGTGACCAGGTCTCGGATATCTTCGCGGAAAAGGTTGAAAAGTTCCACCTCGCAGAGCTTCCGACTCGCTCAAACCGCTCTCCGGATTTGTCAAGAAGCGAGGAGGCAAAATAGGGCCAACCAGAGGTTCGCCGCCTTACCTCTTAGAGTTAGTCAAAGGTATGGCTTAGTCACATTGAAGCCCAGTCAAGATCGCAGAAGGCGACGGGTGAAATGAGTATTGATGTCAATTGGCGCAGCAATTGAATGGCAACTTGAAAAGGTTCCGGGCACTGCACATCAGCTGTACCAAAAAGCTAAGCAACCCCAGCCCCTCAGGCAGGATTCAAACCATGCCTGCCAATGGCGTTGTTTGGACCAGTGGACAAGACTGCACAAACCTCTAGAGGTAACTTCCCCATTCTTTCCAGGCATCCTTCTTTCTAGAAAACCACAAAAAACCCTGGGGAAATGGCTGGTTTTTGAAAAGAACGATGGCTGAAAAGAATGGGGAAGAACCTTCAACCACCCAAAGCCCTTCCAGTTGCCAACGCCGCACCGGTTTTTCATGCCTGCATCTTCAGGCGGACCTCGTCCCGCGTAAATCTCTGGTCCTGACAGCACAGCAGTAGCAACTCAGCTGGCCATGGGTCAAAATCCAAATCGGTTAGCCCCCAGTGACATCCCAATCCAACCACTAAAATAGGTTCTAAAATGGGTGGTGCACCTACCCCAAAATCGTACCATTCGTTTTGACCCACAGCCAGCTGGCCTTGGATGTCGCGGATTGCAGCGGCTTTTGCAACAGTTCTCCGATGTGACGTTTCATGAGAACCAGCAAGCCTGGCCCAGCCTGCCAGTCTTGCGACAGAGTACTTACAAATTGACCCTGCAACAGCAACAGCAAGCAGCGGCCAGGCAACAAAGTGATTCCCGGGTGAAATCTTAAAGCCAGTCTGTCACCCCGTCATCCATCATGTTCTCTCTTGTGCAAAGACCAAAGACGCCTGGTCGAACTCGTAGTTTTCGCGGTTGTAGCGAAAAACCTGCAGGCCAGGGAAGCAAAGAAAAATATGCATTCCTGAGAAGCGCCTTTCCTGCTACCGATCATGAGGCCTAGTAGCAGTTCGGTTGCGAGTTGAGAAAATCAGCTCACTCCGCAAAAAAATAATAATAATAAATCACGAGTTGGGCCCAAAATATCCTTTCCACGCCTCTCCTTTGTTTCCTATAGCTAGGGTAGGGGAGTTTCCAAATGTTGGCCACCCTTGTAAAAGAACGTCGAATCCGAAGCCAACCTTCCACGGGTCCCCTCACGGGCATTGCGAGTTGGGGACAAGTAGAACCAGGGTTCTACTTTTTTGACTGCAGGGTGGACTTAAACCCAGAAATGTCATTCCCCCCAAAAGAAAAAAAACTGGGTTTCAGTCTATCTTGGAGCAGCCAAAAAGTGGAGCCCCGAGTAGAACACCCCTCCAGCCGCCAGCCGCCCCCAGCGCCAATCGCCTCCATTCCAGCCAGGCCCATGGCCGCCATCACCTCCATGGCCGGCATGGCTCCTGAACTTCTGGGGGTTTTGGTCGCGAGTCGCCAGAGGCTCGGAGGGGAGGCGTCGAAATCTGGGCGGGGAGGTTGGGGAAAATGTCGAACTCTGGGCAGTCCGGCTTTTTCAAATCTTCCAACAAGTGAACTAACTTTCAGTGGGTTAAATATGAAGAAATCCCCCACTAAGGAACCGGATGGCAGGGAACCACCAAGTATAGTTCAGCCTCCGGCTCCGGACATCCAGAGAAGGGGCTTGTTTTCCGTTCTAAGGCTGGCAAACCGTGAGTTGCACTCGGGACAAATAGCTGACCCTTCCAAGGGTTTAGGGTTTAGGGTGGATCATGATCTGCAGCCAGCCACCTGCCACAGGTTTCATGTGGTCTTGAATACTTGGTTGACGTTGGAAGGGGAGCAGAAATTTAACTTTTAGCAGCTGCTAAGTGGGAATTTCCACCACTAAACCACAACAAGCAAAAATGGGAAAATGTGTCCCAACAACACCCATGAATACCCCACAACCCCAGAGCAATCGAAAACCGGCGCATCCAAAAGACAGCCGCTGTGCTCGCTGCCCATGGCTGTATCCCACCCGGCCCCCCAACGTCAGTCCTGGACGCTCCGCTCAGGGCCGGCAGCGGAAAGCCGCCGATCCGCGAGTGGATCGGCACTCGAAAAAAGGGCAGGCTGAAAGTGGCAGCGTTGGAATCAGGGGTCCCGTTCTCTCTGCATTCAAAACAGGGTTGTGGCCATACTCTGGACAACATCCTGCATGGATGGAACCCTATAAACAGTTGAGGGCAAGGACTGTGATTTCAGATGCATCAATCTGTGTGCACTTCGCTTGGGGCTCCACGGCTGCACGTGTATCGCCACCGGCTGAATCAGAGTTTGCGAAGTGAACAAGCATGTGGGGCTCAACAAGATTTAGCGCGTTCAGGCCGTGGTGGGTGTCTTCTCTGAAACCATGCCAAAGCTTGATGAACAAAGCCATCTGGGCACTGGTCAGGCTTTGACAGCATACCTTGAACAAACATACCTTGTTTTACGAGAACTCCTGTTTTGGATGGTTTTATCGGGAAACCAGAAGCAAACCGGCCCTCTTAACCAGGTCTGCAGCTTCGAATGACGCGGAATGGAAGCAGCTGTAGCAACCCATGATGGGATGACTCAACTTATGTAAATTTGTGTGCCAATGGGTGTCCTCCCAAGACATCCGCAAAAAGAAAAAAGGTACACCCCGCAAAAAGACAAGGTCATAAATGCACTCTTCCGACAAATTTACATATGGCTGTGGGTCAAACCAATGGCACGATTTTCGCGCAGGTGCACCGCCCATTTTAGTCTATTTTAGTGGGGAACTGGGGGTACGGGATTTTTTGACCCATGGCCATATCTTGTGTTTTGATGTCCCCAGGCCAAAGGCGACTGCTACCTCGCTACCTCCCCGCAGCCAGGCCCGGCACCCCACCCAGGGCCGCCATCATGGCCACGCGCCTGCGGTTCTCGACGCCACCCAGGGTGGTCTAAAACCCACGCATGGCCATGGGTTAAAATCCATATCGTACCCCCAGTGAACATCCCAATCCCCACTAAAATAGGTTCTAAAATGGTTGTACCCCAAAATGGGATCCCATTGGTTTGGACCCACGCCGCATCAGAACTGCATTAGGGAAGCGCATAGTGCGTGGAGTGGCACCAGATGCACCACTCAGACTCCCAAAAGCCTTGCAAAAAAAAGACATGCCTCAAGGCGTTTTTTTTTTTTTTGGGGGTGAGGGGGGTGAGGGGAGCACTGGCAAGTTGCAGGTTGATGCGCAGGATGCCACGAGGAGTTCGGCAGATTGCTCTGCCGAACCGCAAACTCTAAGTCGCTGGCCCGTGCTTGATCTCAGCAGCCTGGGCTTCGATCGCGAGATAAGTCCCATCTGAGGTCTCTGAGAGTCAGAAAAAAAGAAGAAGAAAAAGGTCCGGCGCGGTCGCTGGCAAACTTCTTTTTGTTGCGACTCTTTTAGGCTCTGGACCTTTCGGTAGAGACTCTGTCTACGTTCCACTGGACACCACAAGCATCACAATGCTGACCTTGCAGATGTGAGCCAAGTCTTGTTTCCGCCACACAAAGCACACACAACATCTTGCTCAAGCGCGTGGCAAATGGCTGTGGGTCAAAAATGGGTACTGGAAATGGAACCCTGGTAAATGGAAATCTGGACGACAACCTGCGGTTCCCTCGTGGTTCAATTTTGACCCAGACCCCAATGAGCCGCAAATGTCTCTGGCTCAGAACAACTCCATCCAAGGAGGGTACTCGGAGGTTCTGGAAGCCTTCCTTGTCGCCGACCATGCTGAAGCCTGCGACACGACTGACCGATGGAAACGCAGACTGCCTAAAACAAATTCTTTGAAAGGATACCCAGTTGGACCGTCGGCGGTTGCCAACCAGCAAGGTGAATCAGTTGGGCAAGACACATGGCTCTCTACACTCGTGTTCCCAGTGCTAAAGGCGTTTCTTAGGGCACTTCTCTGGCCCGGTTCACCAAAGTCATTCTCGTTCACTGATCTGGGTGTGGCTCAAAATTCAGGAGCTGGAGCTCACTCCCCGCCTGCTGGGTCAAAGAAGCCCAGAGGCCTGCGGACCCACAGCTCCCTCTCGGACCGAGCTGTGCAGACTCTTGGGTCCTTGAAAGTTGCCTTGAAGTCACATGCGGCTCGGGAACGAATGGAACAGTCTCCCGGCTCTTAAGCTTTGAGCCACAGCCAGGTGGTATTGTGTTAACCAAAGTTCCCCGTACCAGTACCAACCTGCCCGCCAGATTGCAGAACCCTGCCAAACCACAAAATCCGGTGATTCCAAAAATGGGCGGAGAGGCGGCAAACTCCACTTCGAATACAACGATCCAACCTGGAGTCAGATTTGAAAAGTCAGAGGTGGCAGGCTAGGCGCTGCAAATCCTTAAAATCTGACTACCCTTTAAACTGGACGAGTCCTCATGTGAATTACCATGGCTCTGGCCAGCTGACTCAACAGCGCAGAAAAAGGATCTCAACAACAGCTCAAAACGCCTGGACGCCGCCAAAAACAGAAAAAAGATTGACACAGCTCCAAAGCTGTTTGGGCCGCACCTGGGACCCAGGCAACCCATGCGAAGCGCCCCTTTGCCACTCCCAACACGTCCATGCAAAGTGGAGCCACCCGCCCCGCGCTCGATGTTCCATCTCCAGGGATCCTTACATGAAAAACACCTGAACATTGCAACTTGGAAATGGTGGTTTCAACCTTTATTTTGGTCTTGAGAAAAAGCCACATGTTTGTTTTTTCAAATGGCGGCAGAAATGCCATGTTATTTCCCATGTTTTTGGCGTGGCAAAAAAAATGTTCCATGTTTCAAATGGTGGCAAAAAAACACGGGGAGATCTTTCTCAGGAGCCCTGATCTGATCTCTCTCCGCGGGTAAGGTAAAACCAGAATATAAAAAGAGGGGAAAACAACCGGGCGCCCCGGCTCCATGGCGCCCACCTCAGCTCTCTCCGCCGAAGCGCCAGCGACTTGGAATGACCCCCGGTGGCACCGACCAAAAAAACCGAGCGGTGGAATCCACCCACCCCCCACCGTCTCCACCCCCCACCCCGATTTCCCCGCCCAAGAAAATGCCAAGAAAGAAAGCAAATAAGATTTGGCTCAAGAGCGCAAGTGGAATCGAGCTGTGGCAAGGCACATGTCACATGAACTAAGCCTCGCAACCGACTCCGGCTCACCAACTTGCATCTAGCTTGATCCATCCCAGCCTGGCACCTTTTGCCAATTGTTGTACGACCCCCCCAAAAAAAAACAAAAAACGCCTGACAAATCGTCACGGTCCCTTGGACTTCACCCGCCTGCTTTGCCGGGTCGAACGGGGGAGGCTTTGGAGCCTCCGCCTCCTGACGACACAGCTCGCCCTCACGCGAAGCCGCTGCAACTCACAGGCCGAGCCGCTTGTGGCAAGGGGCCCTTGAAAGGCACCGTTGCAAGCATGGCCCTTAAAAGACATGGCCATGGCTCAACACCAATGGAATTATTATGGGATAGGTGAATTCACCACCCATTCTAGAACCTATGTTGGTGGACCAGTGATCGAAGATGCAAGTTCACATTCTATCGAAGATGTTTTTTCTTTTCCACATGTCGCACGCGCCTTTTCACAGGCCGGGCTGTTGACTTTTAGCATTGAGGATGTCCGCACGGCAAGCACTGTACGTAATCAAAGCTTTGTCTGTCCTTCTCAGCCCTCAGCGGCGAAGTCGTGTAGAGCGACTTAGTGCACAATGGCATCGTCTCTCTCCCGCGGTGTAGGCATCACAAGACTGCGATGCGTTGCCATGCACGATGTGTTCTGCCATGGAATCCGCAACATGAATGCAGTTGGACGGTTGCTTGAGATCTTGCAGCTTCCGAGTTCAAGTGCTGAAAGCTTGGACTTGCTATTTTTATCACAGTGCTGCTCAGAAGCCGCCCCAGAAAGTTGCGACTCGCCAGCCGGGCAACACTCAACTTGCGCTTTGCATGACAGGAATGGAGTAAGTATCTTTAAGTAACTCGGCTCCCATGTGGTTCATGTATTCACTTGGCAGTTGAGTTTAGACTGCCTCATTGCTCAGGCCCCCCACCCAGTCACCCCAGGCAGAGCCAGTGAGACCATCTTGGAAGAACATGCCAATGATCGCCTCGGCTACAGGAAGCCGGAGTTCCTTGACTTCGTGCCAGTAGTTTCATTCAATTCCCGGCTGCAAGCATGTCTGGAGGTCTAATTCCAGGACGGGTTGGTCACATGTTGAGAAATCAGAAGGGCATAAGCGACAGAGCGACTGTCGGTCAGCTTGTCAACAGCAGTGCCGCGGGCCAAAGGAGCGTGATGAGGGAAACATTGCATTGAACCTTGGGAGTGTCTTGGAACATCGTCGCAAGCTAACGTCACGAGATGACTATGCTATTCTGCGCATCGGCTCTCTCGGTAGTCAGCTAAACTCAAGGAGGCGGTAAAACTGAGCCGCCCGTGCTTAATATGAAAACGCTCAGCCGCGCTCATGGGCCAATGCACGCCAGCCTATCGCATTGGAGGTGATTCTCGCTGAAATAGCTTGAGACGAAGCAAGAACCAACAAGCAATTCGTTCAAAATTCGTCGATCTTCCTTTGACTACGCTCATGATCAGGCACTGCACAAAGCAGAGCACAACTCTGGCAATGATTGAGCCAAGTGGCCATCATGGCCAGTCTTCCGTTCGCCAACTCGGCCGCAAGCTTGGACTTGCGGGCCTCTGGGTCCTCGACCTTGCCCAGGAAGGTGGGGAAGCCAACACCGTAGTTGCCCGGCTCGGCGGACTCGGTGGAGTCCTTCATGGAGAACTGGCCCTCACGCGGGCCGCGGCCGTCAGTGGTGGAGGAAGCCTGGAAGAAGCCAGTGGTCTCAATCAGGCCGCAGAAGGCAATGATCTGGGCACCACCCAGCACTGGCACCCTCAGTCACTTGGTGAAGAATCACGGAACGAGCAAAGCCATCACACAAACAGCACAGCCGACAGAATGCATGTAGATCATGCAAGCTGGCGAATAGCAGCACACCCGATGTCACCAAAATATCAGTGAACTGAGTTGAACACGAATTGAACACATTCATGAACCACCCAGTGAAAGCAGCCAATTGCTTTCAGCACAACAAGCATGGAATGACGCAGTAGTGTGCCATCTAGAACAGGTCACGAGCAAACAATGTTGCACATCTGAAAGATGCATACTGCAACACCTAAGATCCCGACTTGGACAAAGCCGCGAGGCCGTTCGGCACGTCAGCAAACTTCAAACCAAGAGAAGGGGACAGGAAGCCCGGAAACTTGAAGTACTCCGGGGTGATGTAGCCCATGCAGGCATACATGGCCTGTGCCAGCAACATGGCTTCAAGAAGATCGACTGATACCAAGCTTGACTAAACAACTAAACACACGTCACGGCGTGAAGCATGCTGCATGCTGCATGCTGCTTGCAACGCTTGGGCCCCTGCAATGCGGCCATGCTTGATCTCCACTGCCCTGCGGCGCTTGAAGGTTGCCTCATCCTTGTCCGCGCTCAGACCAAGCGGGTCCCAGAAGCCCACAGGATCTTGCACGCCGAGCTCCTTGGCAGGGTCGAAGCCAGCGCTGCCTGTCGAGTCGCCACCGAAGAAGTTCCGCGCGACCTTGGGCTCCCTTGCCCTCAAAGGCGAGGAAGTGTACAGGCTCCAGTCGCCCCAGGCCGAGCCGGTCAGACCATCTTGGAAGAACATGCCGATGATCGCCTGAACACATTGCTTCACATGCATCATTGATGCATCATACTACCACTGTACTCTGTTAGATCCATGCAAACAAGCGCGCTCAGTCATTCTAATCGCTCGGATGTAGCACCTTCAACCGAACAGCAACCTGGCCCCTACATCCACATGGCCCTGCGCAAGCACGATGCAACTCTTGCAGCTTGCTGCACACCAAAACTCGTCGATCTTCCCTTTGGACGAAGCAATTCTTCAAAGATAAAGTCAAGTGGCCATCATGGCCAGCCTGCCGTTGGCCAACTCGGCCGCAAGCTTGGACTTGCGGGCCGCTGGGTCCTCGACCTTCCCGAGGAAGGTGGGGAAGCCAACGCCGTAGTTGCCCGGCTCGGCGGACTCGGTGGAGTCCTTCATGGAGAACTGGCCCTCACGAGGGCCCCGGCCGTCAGTGGTGGAGGAAGCCTGGAAGAAGCCAGTGGTCTCAATCAGGCCGCAGAAGGCAATGATCTGGGCACCACCCAGCACTGGCACCCTCAGTCACTTGGTGAAGAATCACGGAACGAGCAAAGCCATCACACAAACAGCACAGCCGACAGAATGCATGTAGATCATGCAAGCTGGCGAATAGCAGCACACCCGATGTCACCAAGGTATCAGTGAACTGAGTTAAACACGAATTGAGCACATTCATGAACCACCCAGTGAAAGCAGCCAGTTGCTTCAGCACAACAAGCATGGAATGACGCAGTAGTGTGCCATCTAGAACAGGTCACGAGCAAACAATGTTGCACATCTGAAAGATGCACACTGCAACACCTAAGATCCCGACTTGGACAAAGCCGCGAGGCCGTTCGGCACGTCAGCAAACTTCAAACCAAGAGAAGGGGACAGGAAGCCCGGAAACTTGAAGTACTCCGGGGTGATGTAGCCTCGGGTGCAATGCAATTGCCAGGACCCAATGCTTGCCACATGCAGCCAGTGCAAAACAATCCTCGTTGGAGAAAATCCCCTGCATTGTGGGCTCAGTCTTTGCAGCGAAATGATCCCTGATGCTTAGGCTAAGGTGCTGTTTGGTCGAAACAGGCCTGTTCACACAGAATCCATATTTGAACACCCAAGTGCGCAACCTCACTTCCACGGCAAGCATACACCGAAACCAAGGCGGCTCCCCCTATCTGTCCTTGGTGCCTGTCCCTAATAACCTCAAGCAGGCCTCGTGTCAATCCTCGGAGCAGGCACTGGGGCTCCAGCACCCCACGTGCAAGCAAGAGCAACTACCAATCTTGCAAGGGCTGAAGGCGTTCAAGCAATAGCTGTCAAATGACTTCGGTCTCAGTTGGAAAAACCTGGGCTCGCTGCCCATGCATGCGTACATTGCCTCGGCCGTCTACGAACGGCCAATTCTCTCGGTCTTCCCTGCCACATACGACCCAGTCGTTGTGCAAAGCTGCAACAACGATGACAGGTGTCTGACAGGTGTGCAAGTTCCGGCCATGCAAGAAAGTTTCAGTCGTCACATACAAAGAATCAGCAAAGCACGAGGGCCACGCGATTCTGCCGTGCTTGATCTCCACTGCGCGGCGACGCTTGAAGGTAGCCTCATCCTTGGTCATGAGGTCATAGCGCTGTGTTTTTCAGCTTCATTAGAAATCACGTTTCTTTTTATTTGAGTTATTTAGGAATGAATTATATTAATGAAATTGGTATTACTAGTGGTATGTCATTACGTTGTCATTACAGTTCTTTGGCTGAGCGGGCAGCCAAAATGGGGCGGGAGGGTGGTCTTCTTTTATGGTAACCCCAAAATGGTGGTTCTCATGTTGGTTCCCCTTTAAAACCACACAAAAGGTACCCTGGAACAAAGGCACACCAAAAGGAACAAACCAGGCCAGCAGCAAGGATACTGAGTGCAACTGCTCTTTGGCGGGCACATCTCGTGCTTCTTTAGCAATGCAAACAAAGATATGTTTCTTTGCCGGTGCGGGGCAGAGGGAAAGATCTTAGCCAGTTGAGGAGAGGCAATGGGAAGTTGCCCAACCAAAACATGCGTTGAACTGATTGCAGTGATCACATGCCATGTCAAGCCAAGTCCGCAAACCCTGAACCCATAACGCACTGGAAGTGCTGCACACAGAGAGGGAGAAAGAAAGCAGGACAGGATGAGAGGAAAAGAGGAAGAGCAACAAGAGAGAAACAGAGAAGCCGAGAAAGAGAGAAAGAAAGAAAAGAAAGAGAGAAAGAGGGAAAATAAAGAGAGAAAGAGAGAAAGGAAGGAAAGAGAGAAAGGAAAAGAAAGAGAGAAAGAGAGAAAGAGAGAACGAGAGAAAGCGAGAAAGATAAAAAGAGAGAAATAGAGAAAGAGAGAAAAGAAAGAGAGAAAGAGAGAAAGGAAGGAAAGAGAGAAAGGAAAAGAAAGAGAGAAAGAGAGAAAGAGAGAACGAGAGAAAGCGAGAAAGATAAAAAGAGAGAAATAGAGAAAGAGAGAAAAGAAAGAGAGAAAGAGAGAAAGGAAGGAAAGAGAGAAAGGAAAAGAAAGAGAGAAAGAGAGAAAGAGAGAACGAGAGAAAGCGAGAAAGATAAAAAGAGAGAAAGAGAGAAAGGAAAGAAAGAGAGAAAGGCAAAGAAAGAGAGAAAGAGAGAAAGAGAGAACGAGAGAAAGAAAGAGAGCAAGAGAGAAAGGAAGGAAAGAGAGAAAGGAAAAGAAAGAGAGAAAGAGAGAAAGAGAGAACGAGAGAAGCGAGAAAGATAAAAAGAGAGAAAGAGAGAAAGGAAAGAAAGAGAGAAAGGAAAAGAAAGAGAGAAAGAGAGAAAGAGAGAAAGAAAGAGAGCAAAAAAGAGAGCAAGAAAGAGAGCAAGAAAGCGAGCGAGCAAGCGACCAAGAGAGCATGAGAGCAAGAAAGCAAGAGAGCAAGAGAGCAAGAGAGAAAGAGAGAAAAAGAGAGAGAGAGAGAGAGAGAGAGCGAAAGAGAAAAAGAGAAAAAGAGAGAAAGAGAGAAAGAGAGAAAGAGAGAAAGAGAGAAAGAGAGAAAGAGAGAAAGAGAGAAAGAGAGAAAGAGAGAAAGAAAGAGAGCGAGCAAGCAAGAAAGCAGCGAGCAAGAGAGCAAGAGAGCAAGGGAGCAAGAGAGCATGAGAGCAAGAGAGCAAGAGAACAAGAGAAAAAAATGAGAGAAAGAGAGAGACAGGGAGAGATGGAGACACACACACACACACTGAGGACGCCTGTTGACTTGCTGTAACAGAGTTCATCTAGCTGGGCCATTACAATCCTCCAATGCGACGTTCTTGTCTTTTGCGCGTCAGCTGATGCTATCAGCAGCCCGTACAGGTTGCAGCCCTCGTTGGTTGAATCGCCGGCAAAAGAAGCCACCAGGGGCAGCGCAAAACACCAAGCAGAATGCGTCAATTTCATGCGGCTCTTCCTTGGACGTGAATATGGCTTGACAGGGAAACAAAATCGCACAAACATGCGCTAAAAACCCGGGCGCTTTGTCGCTAGGAATTCCAACCGGGAGCCGATTCCCTCGGAGCCGATCGGCGCCTTGTCGGCGCTCAGCCCCAAGGGGTCCCAGAAGCCCACAGGATCCTCGCCGCAGTTAAGTCCCAAGAGCGTCAGAAGAATTTAGGCCTGGGTTTTCACATGGCGGGCATTGACCTCTAGGTTGTTGCCTTGCTGATTTTTGTCTGGGATATGGAACTCTAGGTGTTTACATTGCCGAATTGGCCCTGGGGGTATTGACTTCACGTGGAATGGACCAAGGAGACCCGGCAACCAATCGAATTCTTGTCCGTCCGAAAGCAAATCGAAAGACTGTACCTCCCACCCGGCTCCCAGAATGGCCAAATGATGCGTCTGTACAAACACTCATGGTGGGGCGGTCAAGCCCAGTCAAGGAGAAAGAACACTGAGAACCTCACCTTCAACAGTGAACATCATGGCGGATCATCTGACAAAATGTCTGCAGGCTCAGGTGCGACAGTAAGGCCACTGCACAAAATCTGCAACATGCTGGTTGAAACGCGTTGGCTTCGACATCTACAAACGCTTCCCGCTCAGTGGAATCCGCTCCAAAACCAGCCGAATGACCCAAATGACGTTGCTTGGCTCCTGCACTCCCAGCTCCTTTGCCGGATCGAAAGCCACGCTGCTTGCGCCGCCGCCGCCGAAGAAGTGGCAAGTGGTCTGGCCAAAGCTGGCACGAAGAGGGACATAAGCTCCTGAGTTCTGGCACCTTTCACCTATGGATCGGAACACGTTCTCCTTAGAAGTGCCCGCATCACGACACCCAGGGCCAGTCTGGGACAGTGCTGGCCTCGCCTTGACGGCCTAAATCGCCGTGAAAGCTGCAACATGACATGACAGTTTGTCGCAAAACCTGGCAGAGCAAACCTCAATGAGTCGACGAGCCGGCCGGGCCTTGGAAGGCTTCACGGCCTGCGGTGAAGCCAACATGGATCAAAAACACCTCCCCCCCTGCGCCACAAAAAAAATCCACTCAGACGCTGCGAAGGGAATGACAGAGCACCATAGCCCCACCGGTCCTCCGAAAAAGGGAACGCGCATCTTCAAAAGGTAGCTAAGTCAGGGTCCTGTTTAGCAAGCGAACACAATACCTGCTGCTTTTCACCCTATCTGTGGCGGTGTTATTACTGTAGAGCGGGGTGAAACGCTGCAGGTTCAGGGATCGGCGCGGTTTGGGCACTGCCCAATTGAAACTTGCTGCCACCTAGGCCATCCTCATCTCTCATGCCTTGTTCGTCTTTGGCGCGTGAGGGTGGCTCTTTGTCCACCTTTGCCATGTCGAGGCCTCCATTTCATCAGCTCCCCAGGTGGCCGGGTTGCCTGCCCCATCCAGCTTGAAGCCATACTTTGCGTAACATCTTACGGCCCGACTGTTCGCTTCCAGCACCGAGAGCCCGGTGGTGGCGCACTTCCAGCCGAGTTGGTGACTATAGTCCTCAGCAGCTTGGATGAGTACAGCACCTAGACCTTTGCCCTGATGAGCGGAGTCCACCTTGAGGTGAGAAATGCTCAGCCTTTGCTCGTCCTTCTGATCCATGCAATGCACGTATCCAGAAATCTCGTTGGTTGCAAGGTGCACCAGCGAGAGTGTAAAGTGCTTGGGGTTCTGTCCCGACAGCACAGCCTTGATGGCATTGATGGGGTCATGAGGAGGCTTTACGGTGTCATCAATGACACCCACGTTCCTGCACCAGCAGTCGTGGGCCACATCTGCAAACCACTTCTCCTTGGCAAGCAGTTCCGCATGGTCCACTACGAAGTGCTTCTCTGACACGCGGAGCCGAGCTGCACAAGGCACGGGCGTCTTCACCACGGCGTAGCCCCCGCCACTGCGGATGAAGTCCTCGGGCTTGGCTTCGATCTTCCCGCCTGCGGCCTCGCCGGCCGAGCACTCGTCAGCCCACTCTCGCAAGGCCTCCAAGCTTGGAGGGTTAGACAAAAACAGGTTTGTGTGGAGGGTTCTCAGGGTTTGAGGGTCTTAAAAAAGGAAGGATCAAAAAAAAGACAAGTTTGGAGGCTGAAAAAAGGGGAGCCGACCTCCAAGGGCGTGGCGGCCACCCTTCGCCGCTTCGAAGGGGGGGCGACAGGCACAGCTGCGGAAACTGTGGCCGGAGCGGCCGCGGAGGAAATCTCCTGGGCCTTCCGCTTGCGGGCGGTCACCTCTTCCTGAAGCCTGGGGGCAATCTCCTTCGCTGCAACCTGCACGATGTTCCGGCCCCACCTGTTCACCACGTCTAATCGTGAACGTTCCTCGATCAAGATCAGAGCGGTGTCAAGGTGAGCGCGGGTGGCGGCATAAAACAACGCTGTCTCGCCGTTCCCATCAACGTGGTTCACATCTATGCCTTGCTGCACCAAATAGGCGCAAGTCTTGGTGTGGCCCTGCCGCGCCGCGTAATACAGCGCTGTCTGCTGATACTCGTCCACCCAGTGCAGTGTGACACCAAATCCCACTAAGAGCTTGCAAAGGGCCAAAGCCTCAGCATCCTGCCCTTGCGCTCGAGCGCAGGCAAAGAAGAGCGGTGTCTGCATGGTGGGCTTATAGCATGAGGTCAGATGGGCAATGGGAGCATCCTTGACCATTTTCATGGCCATGGCGACCGGCTTGTCCCGGATGATGAAAAAGAACTCATTCTTCAGCTTCTTCGGTGGTGCCATGGCACCCCAACACAAAAAAGAAACAGCGGCACACACCAGAAATCGGTGCCTGCGAGCCACTTTGGCTGCGGTTTTAACGAGCTGCGGCGGCTCCTAAGTTGCGGGCCCCGTCAACTCAGAGGCAATATGGGTATGAATGTTAATTCGGGACTTTTTCGTGGACATCATTTAGGTGGGGATTTATGTCCACCAACCACTTTTCAGGGGCTTCCCCACTAAAACTCAGAGCCATATGTCCTGATGTGCGGTCGCGCGCTACTCCAGCCAAGTTCCAGGGCAGTCCATCGACGCGGTGAGTGCTGAGGCCAGGGCAATCCGCGCCGCAACCTGCAAGCAAGCGAGGCCCCGCGCGGCGAGAGTTCGCATCATGAAAAATACGGCATATGGATATGGATTTGAATTAGGGACCCTTTGGTGGACATCATTTAGGGGGTTCATGTCCACCAACCGCATTTGAGGTGGTTCCCTATTAACATTCAAGGCCGTATGAGCTAGAGCAGGCTGAGCGTTGTTTTTTCTTTCTTTATGCAGCCTTACTTCTCGGAACACAGAGTCTGTTTCTCTCTTGAGCTCATCTGGACTGACTCGCAAATCACAGGCATGCCCTGCTTAGCCTTGGTAGCCTGGAGAACTGTACTGCCGACGATCGCCATGCCAGGGTCCCTGTCCTATCAACCCCATTCACTGAAGGTAACCTGTACCAGCCTGGCTAGCTCCAAACGCCAGACACGTACTCAGCACATGCTCCAGCTTCAGCTCTCACAGGAAAAAATCCGAACACTCCTTTCGAAGGCGAGAGCGCCGCGTAGCTACTTCACGTTGGAGGAAAAGAGTGGGCGTAGAAAGGTGAGAACGCGACTTCAACATGTTGCCATGGGTCAAAATCCTGGTTACCCCCCAGCGCACGTCCCAATCCCCACTAAAATAGGTTCTAAAATGGGTGGTGCACCTACCCCAAAATGGGATCCCATTGGTTTTGACCCACAGCTACATGTTGCGCCACGCATTCTTCGCCTCAGACCTGCCAGATCTGCCCCTCCCACTCCCGCTGGGCACCCCCAACCACAGCGCCGGCGGCCACTCCCGCCACCGCCAAGCTGGACAGCTCCTGAGAGTAAGCTCCAAAAACTGGACGTGAAACAACGAACATGAAAGCAGGTAGCCTTCCACTTGCTTGAGCCCCCCGGAAGAATAAATGAACATATGTCCAGTAGTGATAGATTCCCTTTGACACCAACAGGGGAAAATGACAAAATGCTCTTATCCTCAAATGGAAGGTAAGGAGTAAGACAGAGCTCTTTCTTGAACCAACACCAGACTGCCCCATCTCGAATCACCAACAAGCCCTGAGCCAGCTGCAGATTGCTTGAGGGAGCGGGCGTGCGACGACCTGAGCGAGCTGCAACAAAGACTTCGCAAAGACATGGCGGTGGGTCAAAAATGTGTACCCAAAATGGAACCCTGGTAAATGGAAACAAGGACTAAAACCTGGGTTTTTTGGCGCTTACATTTTGACCCATACCCACACAGGCGAGCGTCGCTGTGAAGGCTACCTTTCAAAGCAACTCCAAGCTCTTGGAGTGATGAAAGAACCGAGCACCTTGCGGGTAGAAGCAACTGATGATGAGTCCGTTCCAGCAAAAATCATTGAACAACCGTTGCCCCCTGTCTGCACGGTGCAGCTTCTCGGAATCAGGATGCTGTGACACGTAGATCGGTCCCCATGTATTGCAGCGAACTCGCTTTAGAGCTTCTGACTTCTCACCGCATTGGGAAAGATTAGTGACTACACTGAGTCAGACCGCAAATCACCCAATCAGCGACAAACATTCCCTGCAACACAAGGTCCCGTGGTAAAGCGCGTGTTTTCAGCACAGCGCTCCAGTGGGCATGTTCTTTTTGGGGGGGAAGAACTCCCAAAAAAAAAAAAAGTGCCCGCAGCCCCTTTTTTGGGATTCCCTTCTTCCCGCAAAAAAAATCGCGGCACCAACTCCAAAGACGACACAAAAAGCAACGCTCCAAACCCCGCAGCCCGTGGGCCCGGCGGGCCGCGCGCCGCGACCGAAGACGCGGAGGAAAATGGCGCCACAAAGCCTGGGGCCTCGGCGGCGAAGGCTCCATGACCCCGGATTGCTTTCTGCTCCCCTGCTACAAGTGACTAACTTTTTAGTGGTTTAATGGAAAACCCATGAGTTGGCAAAAAGTTAAAGTCCTGACATCCAAGCAAAATGCACCTCTGGTTTAAAGGTGTCATGCCAGTTTATGGGGCGTGGTGTCCTTTTTTTCACATAAGGTGCCACATCGAGTTGTTGTTTTTTTTGCAGTGTTGACCCCTTTCATTGCCAGTTTGTCATGGGGGTGGTGCCCTTCAAAAGTGGTCGGAATCCCCATTAAACCACCAACATGACGAAAATTGCTTTCGTACTCGCTGAATCCTTCGGACAACACTTTTTCCCAATAGAATCGGCGTGAATGATTGATCGACATTCTGTTTTATTGTGCATTTAGGGGGAATCCTCCCGTATTATTGGTTCCCCCTGTATCCCTGCTAGTGGGTTTCCCTGAAATCTTCTGTCGCCCTCCGCCCACAGATTGGTTGTTTCCGCGCACAGGCATGCTGTCTGCCGTGTATTGCTGACCGCTCGAAGGAGCGTGGAACGTGTCGGCACATAAAAGACGGCATCCCAC